AGACCTGGGGGTGGGGACACGGGGCTCTCTGTCCCCTTGGCCACCCAGGTCAGAAGCAGTGCCCACTCTCAGCAGGGAGGCAGGTGGACCAGGAGGGGCATGGATGGAGAAGAGCCATGTCACTCCTCCATGCCCAGCCTTTTCCGTCAGGCTAGCATCTCACCATCTGTGCTTGGCCACCAACTTTGCCACTTCAACCTGCCTGGGTAAGCTCCTGTCTACCCCACCCTCAGTAGCCACCTTCTCCAGTGGGGGTGTCCTCATAGCCTTCCCACAGACACACACACACACACCGAGGACCAGAGCCCTAAGCTGCTCTCCTGAGTCCTGGCTAGCTCTGCCCTCCATGCCCAGGCCGGGGACCCCAGTGCTTCCTTTCCCCAGGTCTCCTCTGGTCAAATTCACCTCTGGGTAAAGTAGCCATCATTCTGGTCTGTCCTTTCCTTATCTTCGCTGGCTTTTCAAATCTCGGGTGTGTCCAGGAAGTAATGAAGGAGCAGGGGTCACATGCCAGCACACAGGAAGAATATCCTGGAAGTAAGGTTTGAAATGAGGAAGAGGCCAGGCCAAGGTGACCAAGGGCATGGAGGAGGGTGGAGGGCAGAGCAGGAGGAGGAGGGGAGGAGGGGGGAGGAGGGGAGGAGGGAGGAGGAGAGGGAAGAAGAGGGAGGAGGATGGAGAACAGAGGAGGAGGGAGGACCGCTTGTAAATTGGGGCTGGAGAGTGGGGGGGTCGAAGTCACCTGGGGCAGTTCAGCCAGGGGAGACCGCTCTGGGAAGATGGGGTGTGAGCAAACCTAAGAGGCAAGACAGCCAGAGAGCCAAAGGATGGAGGAGCATGTACCAGGCAGCAAGTACAAACGACCTGAGGCAGAGCTTTCCAGAAAGATCACAGAAGAGCCAGAAAGGCAGTGCCTGGCCCTGAGTGACAAACACTGCCTGTGTTGACCCACTGTTCTCCCGAAACCTGTTCACCAATCATCACAGACTCCTCTCTGAGTCTGTTCTGCAGATAGACAAGCAGAAGCACATGGGGTGAAGGATACTGTGCAGGCCCACACTGGTCGGGCTGAGGTGACAGTGCCCAGAGGCCAGCCAGGACCCAGGTGACAGGGAGTCAAACCCACCCAGGCCTCGGCAGCCTCGAGGCTCTCGAACTCACTCATTCTGTGTTTGGCTCACTCATCTGCTCATTCACACACTCATCCATACATTCACTCATTCATTAATTCACTCATCATTCATTCACCCAGACCATCCTGGCCCAATCCATGCCCCGAGCTTAGCAGAAGACACTAGGATGTGTCATTCCTGTCCCTAGTCTGAGAACATCAAAGACAACTGAGATGAAAACGCGTTTACAGCCAAGCTCAGAGGAGATCTTCCCCAAAGCCGAGGTCAAAGGGCACCCCTCTCCTAGGATCGACCCTCCCCCCCATCTCTAGCTCCAAACCTTCCATTCCTGCCCCAGGTGTCTCAAGGACATTAGAGACCCTGGGGTCACTTGTCCCCCAACTCAGCCTGTTCTGTGTCCCTGGCCTGACCCCATACAACCACATACAGCAGGGCAGTCAGCCTGCCTGTCCCGCCTGCATCACACACTCTACCAACCACTGAGCCCAAGAGACCAGGCAGGCGGGCACAGGTGGGTCCAGCTGAGCCTGGCAGACCCTTGGCAGACACCTGCAGGCAGGAGCTGGCAAAGCCAGACCTTGGGCAGGGGCTGAGCTGGTCTCAGAGCCAAGGCAACTGGAGGTGGGAAGCGGTCACGTGACCTGGCCTCCACCCAACAGGAAAGTGAGGGTGGCCAAGCCAGCCACAGCTGAGTTCACCTCTCCAAGAGGGTTCTAGACAACCAGGCAGGCCAGAAGCTGAAGCCAGAGGGAATCCACCCTGCAGAGGACACTCAAGGAGGAGGCAGGAGTGGCCAGGGCTCTGGGGTCGTGGTAACAGGGCCCATCTGGAAAGGGAGTGAGTACTGTGACTGCCCAAATGGAACGTGCCATTTCCACCCTCAGACTCACTGGGTGCCTAGCAATCTTCCAGGCCTGGAGGAGTCACACCACACTAGTTCCCTTTTAAGGGGACTCCTCCAAGCCCCTCACGGTCCAACCCTTCTAGGCACAAGGGACAACTCACCAAAGGCAATGAGAAACAAGAGGCAGAGAGCCAACTGTTTCCCTACTCGGGTAGATGGGCTAGCTGGATGTGCCAGTCCTGTGGGATCCCTCAAGCCCTTCTAAGAGAATGACCGGGGCACCAGGCTCCTCCCTGTCTGCCCCACCTTACCCACACCCTCTACAGCCAGCTCCTCCCAGAAGACCCCAGGTCTAGTCCCTACCTCCCACACCACTACCTCAGGCCTTGGGTCCCAGCAAACCTCTCCTATCTCCTCCCCTACAGATGTCCCAAGAACCCACAAGGGAGAGCCTTATGAAGCCCTGTCAGGCCTCCAGGAAACCTTGTCAGGCCTCCAACCCCTCAGGTCACTGAGTACCTGAAGTCACCCAGGGTGATCCCAGCTCCTGAATGGGAACGTGGGGGAAAACACGCTGCCTAGCTAAGCACGGGCCTGCCCAGGCCTCTGCCCCTATTCACACCAAAGGGCCAGCTTTGGTGTTCCCCAGGGATGGTCTGCAGCTCAGCTTCAGACCAGCCAGGGCATAGATCAAACCCCAGCCAACCCTGTTCCAATCTCCTGAGACCAGAGTCCCCACCGGTATGTGTGCACACGCACGCTGCAGATGCACGGACATGCTTAGCAGGGGACGGTGCTCCAGGGACAGCAGTCTTCTGCATCTCATGGCCCAACAAATGAAGGAGCTGGTAGCTGTTTCAGTGCCTCGGAGCAGAGCTACTTCCAAAACATGGACCAGCACCCTCCACGCCCCCGTGTCCTCCATGCCCCCAGGGTCCAGTCTAGTGAGGGAGGGAGGGAGACAGTAAGGGAATGAAGGGACCAGTTCACATGAGCTCACAGACCGTCTGTTCAAACAGATACAGAGTGAGCTCAAGTGCCACCAGGACTGGGCTGACCCATCAGGCTCCTCCCTCACAGTTCACATCACTGAGGGCTTTCCCTCTCCAGGCCTCTTGCTGCTTATTTTGAAAATGAGCAGATCAGCAGAGAGTTGTGGGGAGCAGGGAAACACAGTTCCTAAGGGACACAGCAGGATGTGACCAGAGGTCCCAGGCCTGAAAAGCACCGCTCTACCCTCTGCTCAAGTCTCCTGCACTCCATCTGGCCCCTCCTCCCACAGCATTCCCCCTTGGCCTGGAGGAACTTCAGACTTCAGCGCAGAGAGCCAGCTTACCCAGCCAGGAAGCCTCCCTGACTGCCTGTCCACACAAGTCTACTTGTATAGCTGTGCCTCACACTCACCCCAGCAGAGACACTTCCAAGGACGACTGCCAGCTTTTTGGACACAATTGGGCTAGTGCCTACCTCTCAGTCCTGGCCACTCCTTGGTGGGTGGGTGAAGGGTGGCACCCTGCTGGGTTAGATTTGTCCTGGTCTGAATAACTCTCATCTTTGGGTAGCTGTGAGTAAGCTCCCAAACCCAGCCTTCAGCCAAAAACCTTTCATTAGCTCTTGTTTGTTTGGGCTCTTTTTGCCCTTTTAAAGTAAAAATAGTTTATTTTTAACATATGGATGCTGTTGCTTTCTTTTTAAGAAGGTGTAAAAATAAAAAGCCCAGGCCTGTTTCTTTTCTTGGCCTGCATGTCTGTGAGCAGTCCTCCTCATCAAATACCCCAGGCTCTTTCAGGGCCCCCCACGCACGCACGCTCCCCAGCTTCTCAGAGAGGAGCAGCTTGGGAAAGAAGGCCTATAGATTAAGCTCTGGAGACAAACCAAAGGTGTGGGGGCTGGCCCAGGAGGAGGTTCCAGGGACAAAGGCCCTTGCGTGCTGGAGCTCCTGAATGGCCATCCTCTCATAAGCGTGGAGCCCAGGAGAGCAACCCCATCCCTGCGCTTAGGAAGTCACAGGACAGAGGGAGCAGTCAAAAAAGGAAACAGAAGAGGACACAGAGGGGACACAGAGGCCGAGAGTGGCTCCTGAGCTAAGCCTGGAGGTTGAGTGGTTCAGGTGGACGAGCCAGGCCTATGATGAGCTGCAGGGGACAGTCCAGGGTGAGAACTGTGTCTCCGATAGTGTCAGGCCTGGTGGGGCATGCTCGTAATCCCAGCAGAGGCGGGAGCTGGAAGCCAGCTGTGGGACATAGTACACAGATCAACCAAGGATCCCAATGGGGTAGGAGGATGAAAGACAGAAACAGCCAAGCTAGAGAAAGACCATCAAACATACACAGGCCCTCACAGCCATAAGGCTGACCTGATTTCTAGGAAGGAAAATGCACCTTCCAGCCTCTGGGTAAAGGCCTTTCTTCTTGCTACTTCAAAGTTGGTCTGCTATGTGAACAGCCAAGAGAACAGTCCCTTCCTTTCCCCACCTCCTGTGGCATGCTCCTGGGACCGCAGAGCGGGACCACAGAAGTAGTGCTGCTGGGAAGATTCAGCCAAATGTGATGAAGTACAGAGAGGCCCCCCCACACGGCCCTCTTCAGCGTCCCCTGAAGATGTATGTGTGTCCACAGTCAGGAAGACACGGCTGTGGACAGCCACAGCCATGTTGTTAGGGGAGCACAGTGGCAATGCCTCAGGCTGCCCTTTAGTCGACAACCAACAGCATAAAGCAAGATTCAGTCACAGGATAGGACTGGACATCCGCCAGACAGCTGTGACCTGACAGTGAATGACAGGCAGAGGGGCTGTGGGTTAGTTTCTACTGTATATGTTTTTAGCAACATATTAGAAACTAGAGTCACCTGGGAAGAGGGACCCTCCATTGAGGAATTTCCCCATTAGATTATTCTATTGGCATGGCTGTGAGGCATTTTCTTCATTCCTAATTGATGTAGGCAATCAATTAGGACCCAGCCCATGGTGGGTGGTGCCATCCCTAGGCAGGTGGGCCTGGGCTATATAAGAAAGGTAGCGGAGGCAGATGATGTCCTTTACTCACAATGGTCTGCAAGTGCCACCGGGCGCTGCTGATAATGCCACAGGCTCAGCTGATGCCAGGAGAAGGAAAAGAAAAGAAAAGAGAAAAGAAAAGAAAAAGGTAGCTGAACAAGCCAGGGCGAAGCAAGCCAGTAAGCAACGCTTCTCGTGGTCTCTCCTTCAGTTCCTGCCTCCAGGTTCCTGCCTTGAGTTCCTGCCCTGACTTCTAGTGATGGACTGTGATTGGGACATCTAAGCCAAATATATTCTTTCCTCCCCCAGTTATTTATGATCAGTGTTTTATCACAGCAACAGAAAGCAAACTAGAATACAGACTTTGCTCCCTGTTCTCCCCATTCTCTGCCCAGGCCATTTTCTGAAGCATAGAGGCGGAGGAGCGTAGTGGTCATGCTGAGTAGAATAGGGCATGACCATGAGGCAGCTGGAACCCAAAAGGAGGAAGCTGAATAGAGTGGGGTTCAGACATGAGCCTCGGGGACTCTGATGTCCACACCAAGCCTTCTGGGAAAAGGTACGTGGGGGGGCGGGGCTATGAGTTCTAGGAGCTTAGAGGACAGTCTGGAAGCTGCATGGTGCTGAGAGACACCCGCACCCGGGCCACTTAGCACCCAGACACTCAGCCAGAAGGCCAGACATGAGGAAGAAGCCCCCGGCTGAAGATGAGCAAGAGATGTGCCAGGTCTGTAGCAAAGCTACAGAACAAGCCTCCAGAGGACTAAGCTAACCCAGAGGGGACCGCACCAGCCTGGCTCAGTGCAGCCAAGCCTGACGACAAGCCAGCATCCACCAGCCCAGCAGGAAGACCAACTGCAAAGACCCAGAACCTGTGACCACACCGGGAAGGACACCTTCCCAGGAGAAGCACCCAGAGATGTGGGCAGCCGCACACTTCCCTAGAAGCAGCTACTCCAAATAGGCTCAATGCAGAGCAATTTTTCAAAGAACTCAGAAAACAGATGGCCACAACGAGCAAGCAGACGGAGGCTGTCAGAGACACGCGATGCCCCAAGGAAAAAAAAATGAAAATTCTAACCCAAGAAGTTCAGTATCTGGAAGGGAAATGTCACTGGACAGGCTGCAAACCAAAGCTAGTGTGGCTGGGGTGCCGCGCAGGGGCAGAGGGCCTGCCAGCATGCATGGAGCCGTGGGCTGGATCCATCCGCAACACTGGAAAAGAAAAAAAAGTTCTTGAACCGAAGTCAGAATAATGCAAATTATCCCATCCTAAAGAGAGAAAAACAAAATCAACACTTAGAGATTCAGAGAGTAAAGTCAAGCCAGGCGTGGTGGCGCACACCTTTAATCCTGGCACTCAGGAGGCAGAGGCAGGTGGATCTCTGAGTTCAAGTCCAGCCTCGTCTACACACCAAGTTCCAGGTCAGCCAAGCCTACATAGTGAGACCCTGTCTCAAGACCCTGCCACAAAAAAAAAAAAAAAAAAGGAGGAAAGTCCAGTGTGTCGGGACTGTCCTCCTGGTAGGACATAGCTGTCACCAGCTTGGAGTCAGAGCCACTGTGCTTCCCCACACAAGGCCACACAAGATTGGGCTATTAACATTCTCTCATGGAACTAAGGGAGGGCTTGCCAGGTAGCATGAAAGCTGTCATGAGGTCTACTCCTCCCAGAAAACATATCATCATAATTGCTGGCAGGAGGCCTTTTCAACAGGAGCGAAGCCTCCCATAAATTGCCGTTGCCCGGGCTCCTGTAATGTTCATGTTTCTAAAAGAACCGCCATTGGCTCTCTAAGTTGGACCCGGGTGGATTCATTTCTTTGGTCTCTTGTTGGTTGTCTATCTGGGATGAATAGATGTTTGGACACAGCACTTGGCACACAAACAGGGATACGGCAAAAACAAAGGTGAGTTGGGAAAGAGCGGGCGCGAGGCTTCAACAGTGACCATAAGATGTGTAACTCAAGCCGGCTGAGGATGGAGCATCTGCAGAGGCATTCCGAGTGCAGCCGTCCTTCCCCGTGTGGAATGGAATTGCACGTCTTCCTGCCGCAGTTGAAGTTACATGGTCCCTGCTGTTCATAATGGGCCTGAGATTGCTCCGTGGGAAGTGGAGTGGCTGGGGGAGGGGGGAGCCCAGGGTGGCCCTTTTCCTGTATGTGGTATGAGATGGCATACCTCCTTAATAAATGGGGCTGCCCCTGTGAGTATGAGGATACCCCAAAAGCTGACAGACTAGAGAATATATTGTAGTCCCTAGAAGCATTGCAGTAAGTCACAAAGCCTCACAAAGTTGACAAAGCATGGACTGAGGCCCAGAAAGAACTTGCCCAAGCCAGAGAGGAATTGCAATGCAAAAGACATGCAGATATTACCCTCCACACTAGCCTCTGAATTGGTAGGAAAGTAGGAACACAGGATGAGATGAGGGGAGCATGCCAGAGCACGCATGTTGGGGTCAGAGAACAACTTGCAGGAATTGGTTCTCTCCTTCCACTGTGGGACCTGGTGATCAAACTTGGGGTTGGCAGCAAACACCTTTACCCACTGAGTCATCTCACCATCCCCAGCTAGCAGCTGAAATTGACCAACACATCCTCCTCCAGGGAACTCAAAAATGGTCTCCAGGACAGCAGAGGAGCGGTAAGAACTCTGGAGACCAGGATACAGGGAACCACAAAAAGGATGAATACCAAGAAGACCGTGGCATACCTAGGTGTGTCTTCACCACTGGAAACAAGAACAGAGATCTTCAAGCAAATGGTGGGAAAGGCTTTGTTATCTGCGGAGAAACCAGGGCAGGAGTGCACAGACATCACATCAGCATTCACACACACACAAAAAAACAGAGAGACTTTTTAACCCAAAAAACCAATAGCCTTTCTCAAACAAGAGCAGAGAGTGTTCATTATGTGAAGATCCACTCTGCAAGAAATGTCCCGTCCTCAGAAGGAATATTAAATGGAAACACAGCGAGACCAGGAAATGAAGACATTGGAGACGGAACTGTGGGAGTAAAACAAACCAATCTTCCGTTTTAACTGCTCTAAAGACTCATGATAACGTAAGGGGAAGTGGTGACAGTGTGCAGACAGCAGATGTCAGAATGTGCCACTGACCACACCACACAAGGACAGAGGGAAGACAGCCAGGCACTGCCCGGAGGGAGGCATGATAGTCTTTGAAGGCAGGTGCACAGATTCAGGCCATAGAGAAACTACTACATTTGAATGAGGGCTCAATCAGCCAACAGAAGAGATAAACGTTCAGATTAGAAAAGACAGGCAACATGCAAGAAAGGAGTGTAGCGGCCTCAGCCACTTTCCCATGAAGTGCAACTGTTGGAGGAACCAGGCTTCACTTTCAGAATGAAAGGAAAACTGGCCTTGTCACCTTCCAGGAAAGACATATAGGAACAAGCCAAGTGGTGCCGGAAGGAAACAAAGGCAGAATGTGGGCACCATGGAGGGAGCCACTGCAGGGCGCTTGCTGCAGCTGTGATCACCTGAACAAGACTTGCACAAGAGGGCAGGGGGCCCGTCAGCATCTTCTCAGGGGGCGGAAAGGGCTCGTGAGGCCCAAGAATATAGACAGTTAATCATTGTTGGGAGAGAACAGGACATTTTCTTCAGAGGTACAGCTCCTGTAAATAACCCTTCCCTGCCCACAGTCCTGTAACTAATGCTAATTAAACTCACTGGGACACACGCACGCACACACACACACACACACACACACACACACACACACAGGACATGAAAGCAGAAGAATGACTTGTTGGGAGGGGGGAAGGGATGTATAAAATGCCACACTGAGGGGCTGGAGAGATGGCTCAGCTGTTAAGAACACTGGCTGTTCTAGCAGAAGACCCAGGTTCGAATCCCAGCACCCACATGGCAGCTAACAACTGTCTGTAAGCATGCTTTAAAAAGAAGCTATTAGTTTGTTTTGTTGTTATTGTTGCTGTTGTTGTTGTTTGGTCTTTTTGAGACAGGGTCTCCTGGTAGCCCCAGCAGAGATCTGCCTGACTCTGCCTCCCAAGTGCTGGGAATCAAAGGCATGCACCACCACACCCGGCTTAAGAAGCTACTCGTTTTACTCTAAAACTTTTAACCTGGAAGGAATGGAACCACCTTGTGGGTTGAAAGACTAAAAAGCCTGGCCAGACATGGTGGTGGCTCATGCCTTTGATCCTAGCACTCGGGAGGCAGAAGCAGGCAGATCTCTGTGAGTTCAAGGCCAGCCTAGTTTACATAGTGAGTTCCAGGTCAGCTGGGGCTACAGGGAGACCCTGTCTCAAAAAAGATGAAAAAAGAAAAAGGATAAAAAGCCACAGCAGCCAGTGGTGTAAGGGATCTTGACTACACTCTCAGGAATGTGAGGGTTCTGGGAACACTTCGGACACTCGTTATCTGGAGCTGTATTCGATGACATCTGAGAGCTCGTTGTTCCTCTCTGAGGCTGTGAAATGGCACTGGGGTTCTGTGGGAGAGGCTCTTGTTTTTCACACATGGAAGTTGAAGGGTCAGGGTGCCAAGTGCCACAGTACCTGAGACAGGGTGAAATGCTCAGCGAGGCACTGAGGAAGGAAGGACTCTTTCCTTTCTAGATCTGAACTTTGGGGCGTGGGGAAGGTCAGGCGTTCCTATGTTAATTCATCCATGCCATTCTTCCATCATGACAATTTTCATGATTAAGAAAAATCTTCCTATTTTTCCAGGATCAGATTTCCAGGAGGCTCAGCCATCTGGCACATGGGCATATGCCCAAAATCCAGCAAGAGGGACCACTGAGCTGCCATGCCACCACAGAGCCCTGCAGGTGGCAAGCCCATGGTGGGCATTTACTGATGGAACCCAGCATCACTCCCCTTCCATCTGCTCTGACTTTCACTTGCAGGTCTGTGTGATTTGGGAGACGCTGAATCCACCCCAACTGGAACATTCTTTGTCCCTGACCAAGGGCACCATGTGATCACAGCTCAGTCATGTCAGAGTGGGACGAATGAAGCTGTCACTACGTCAGCAGGTGCAAGCAAGCAGCCTGGGAACACGAGATCCTAGGATGAAGCCGACCCTGCAACAGCAGAGCCGAGAGATGCACCGCAG